TACAACAGATCCAGCAAATAAAGACATGTAGGCGAATAGAACACGCTGCAAAATAAATTCATTCAATTTTCAAGCATGATGTTAGTGAAACCCGTGGGAAATATTGCATATTTGCATGTCTGAATGAACTCTAACAATGGGAGAAGATTCTACAGGAAATGAGAGAAGCCCACAGACATATTCTAGAAGAGCCTGCTCACATCAAACGCCAATACAGCTATAGAAGATGGTAACCATTTCCAATCCATCAACAAAGCAACCATACATTATAAGGTATAAATTAAAGCACCACTACATAATTGATAATACAACAGTTTTACCCGTTTCATTCCCAAGGTTTGATGATTTCCTGCTCCACCTCCATTCTCAATTCTTGACACACAAAACTGATAGCCATTATGAACCCATATTGGAACTTGCTCTTCGTCCTCTGCGTCATGAATGGACTGAACATTGAGTACACCATAATGAAGTACCATGGGACATTGATGAACACCTGCAAAAAAAAACCCAGAAATCATCAGTTGCATTCAAATTCAATTAAAACCCAGAAATTAAATCCAAGAAAACCCAAAGAAAAAGGAAGTTTGAATGATGAATGACCTTGTGGGCGACCAGTTCAGGGTAGTTGTCCTGGAAAAGGGAGAGGATGTGATTAGAGGCGACCCTAAGCTCTCTCTTGGGCATGTCCTTAAGATCGGTGACTTGGACCAGAGAATTGACCCTACCCGGTTTGAAATGGAGAAGCTTTATCCCTCTCTCAAGAACTTGAACCCTCCATCTCAGGAATCTCTTGAGCTTCTCCTCGCCGTCTTCTTCCCCGTCTCCTCCAAAGAATCTGCGGTACATTTATTTGTCTTTGAACACGCCGTGTGCGTTGTAGCAGACCTGGTGGCCGAACCGGTAGAAGCCGTTCATCTAGGCCACAACCCCTTGGAGTTCCTCGAACCCGGCCAGCTCTTCATCTGCCACCTCGTCAGCGCCGAACTCCTTCCTCCACGCCAGGCATTTCGCCAGCATGTGGAGGGCGTGAGGGACGTTGAAGTCCCGGGCGCGGAGGAACTTGAGGAGGATGACGTTGGCGCGGTCGTCGCCGGAGAGGAGGGGGATGCCCCACATGGAGGCGGCGGGAGCGAGGGAGGCGAGGCCGATCTTGAGGTCCGAGAGGGCCTTCTTCTCGGAGTGTTTGAGCTCGGAGGCGAAGTAGGTGTCCTCCTTGAAGGACGGGGCGCGGAGGGCTGCGGCGACGAAGCTTTTCCTGCTGGGAGTCGAGGAGGGTTTGGCCGCGGCGGAGGCAAAGTCGTCTTGCCGGTCTGAGGAGTGGTGGGGAAGATGAGGAAGAAGGCCGGAGATGGAAGATGGGGTTTTTGAATTTGTTTGTATGTGGAAGGAGATGTTGGAAATGAAATGAGTGGAAAATGGGGTTTGAACACAAAACAGAGTGTCAGAACAGGGGATAGAGATATAGATATAGACAAAGATAAAAAGGTAAAAAGACCTTACTATACCCCTAACGCGAAGCACTCTGCTCTCGTGCTTTCGTGCTGTGACCTTGTTTCAACTTATTTTTTCCTATTTTTTCTTATTTTTATTAAAATCAGATCAGATCAGATTGAATCAGATCAGATTGGATCAGATCCAATCAGATCAGATCAGATCTAATTAGATCAGATCAAATCCAATCAAATCAGATCAGATCCAATCAGATCAAATCAAAGCAGATCAGGACTTATTAAAATCAGATCTCATCAAGAATTATTATTATTATTATTATTATTATTATTATTATTATTATTATTGATATACTTATTATTATTATTATCATCATCATCATTATTCAGAGTAGGGTGAAGAGAACATGATAATTAGACACAGCTCGATTAACAAATTAGACACAGCTCAATTGCCACTTGCCGCTGAGATGCCATTTGACGGAGTAGGGTATTGGTTCACGTTTATGCAAAGGTGGGGAGGTTTTACTCAAGGTTAGGTTAGAGAGTAAATTATTAATTTTTTGAATGAAAAAATTGAGGTGTTCAATGACTGTGCAGTGGCACTAGACCCTCTCCGTAGTTAAGTAAATAGTACCGTAAAAAATATTAAGTTAATATTAAAATGTGAGAGTTGGAGGAGGACAGTGAGGTTAGTAATTATTTTGTAAAAATTACCAGTAATGAAGTACTTTATTTATACAATATAATTTTTTTATTCGAACTTTTTATAATTTACATATATCATGTTTTAAACTATTGTATTCTTAGATGTTAAAAATGATATTTTTAAGATTGATACACGAACGAAATAAATAATTTAAAATAATATTTTTTGAAAACAAACAAAAAATTTAGATGATAAAAATTATGTTTGAGCTTATAAATATTTAAAAAAACATAATTTATGAAATCCATGTGCGCATATATATATATATATATATACACACACACACACACTAGTATTGCTCTGTCACTACAAGAAAATTGTTGATCTCCAATGGAAAAATTTCGTGGGAGAATTTAAAATTCCGTGGCAGATTACTATTCTGCGACGGATCTGTTACGAATTTTTCCGTCGCAGAAAAGTTGTGGCAGATTTAATATCTGCGACGGACTTTCAAGTCCCCAATTAAAATTTAGTGTTATATCTTAATATAAATTTTTCTCATATCTCTGTTTTACGTGTCTTTGTTTCGTATTGTTCAAAGTATAGCATGTTGCTTTTGAGTTCGGAAGTTTGTAATGGATTGTGATACTTAATCAATAAACTCAATTTATTACCATGTGTATTTATTTAAACAAATGTAGAGATAGCATATAATTGTATTTTTACACATATTTTTTAGTCTAGAATACATTTTGATAAAATAAAATAGTAATGTCACCACTTGTTTTGTAGAACTTTTGATGTAGTTTTTAAATATGTATGTTATATTTTCTATTTTAATACCAATCTATAAATAAAATCATTTTAAAAGGGATGTGATTTTGCATGTTTTTCAAAAGAGGACATTTTTTTGGGGACGGAAGGAGTAAATGTGAACTCAAAATTTAAAAAGAATAAATAAACATATCGTAAAATTAAAAAAAGTGTACCATATTTAAATCTTAATCTCATTATATTTAGTTCTTGTTTTGATAACAAAGTGTATTTTGTTATCTAAATGTGATTGTGTTAATTTACTTAATTAAAAAAATACAATACAATTAAATCTTATATGAACTTAATTTTTCTATTGAACATTACTCGTACAAAATAAAGAGTAAATAAACTAAATGAGATGACGTAAAAGTGATTTAATACAAATAACCTTCTTTTATTTGCATGGTGTTAGCTCAAATTACAAAATAAAAAAATAAAAAAGTGGTTCTACCTCGACTCAAATTACAAAATAAAAAGTGGTTATTTGCATGTAATTAATAGAAGTTTAGGAAATATGTGCATACTACCTCGGTCCCATAGTATTTGTCCATTTTCATTTTTACACATCATCTATTGCACTTCTTTAATCCAATTTATCTTGTAATTTGTATATTAAAAAAAATTATAAAAATTATATATAAATAATCTCTATGTTAGGACAAATCAAACAAGATGACACATGACTATATTTAGGCTTACACATTGAGAGAATTTGATGAGTCAAAGTGCTTAAATGAACAGTTTCAAAAGTCAAAAGTGGACAAATACTCCGAGACGGAGGGAGTATGAAATATCTTACTCCTAACAAATTTTCTTGTTTTGATTGTTTGGTCAAACAGTGAAACTTTTTACAATAAATTTTGAAAAAAGAATATTTAATTAATATTAATTAATATAGTTGGGTTTATCTTAGAATATAGTTTCGATATATCAATTTTTTATATTATTTGTTTATTTAGAATATGTCTAGTTTGTGGTACAAAAATGTAACTGTTCGACCAAAAAAACTCAAAACATCAAAGGTTTTAAGACATGAGAGAGAATTTTCAACAAGAACTTTAGGACAATACTGCCAAGGATCGTTTTCTAACTTTTGTACATATTTACAAAATATTTAATAAAGTAAATAATGTTATTAAATATTGTCTTTTAGTTTGAATAGCACCAGAAACTTAGGTAAGTGAATGGATTAAATTATACGTAGTAACAATCAATATAAAGTATAAAACAAAAATAGATTTTGCGAGCATCGTAGTTCTATATAAGCCCAAAAATTACTAAAAATGTACGTAAAAGCATATCATATTTCAAAGTAATATTGTAGAGCTTCATCTTGCAAAAAAAATAGAACATGTAGAAAACTAAATATAGTATAGTGTTGGATAAATTTGTTTGAATAATGTTATTTTTTAAAGAAGTTGTATGAGGTTTAGAAATACCAAAAAATGAATAATACGACATTGTTGGGTCACCATGAATACTCGTTATAAACTAGTGTAATCCCCAAACTAAAAGTAGGGGTGTATACGAATCGAATCGAAGCAAATATATCACTATCTGATTTGTATTCGATTAAAGTGATATGCAATCGAATTCGGATTCGTATATAATTCGAATTTTAAAAAACATCTGTATTCAATTCGATAGATATTTGACATATTTGAATTCGTATTCGAATACTCGAATTCGAAAATATTAGTAATTTTTTCTTAAAACAAATTTCTTAAAGACATTAAATTATTACTTTATAATAATGTAAGATGTAGTAAAAATTTATTAGAATATATATAAATTTAATTATAAATTATAATATTTAAATATATATAAAATTATATGTGCACAAATATTTAATATATTAGAATATATATAAATTTATTTATAGATTATAATATTCGAATAATTTGAATGATAAATGAATCGAATCTATTAATATTTGTATTCGAATTCGAAAATAATTCAAATCTAAAATATGATTTGTATTCGGATTCGAATTCGAATATAGCGAATATGAATCATCTTTTTCGAATACGAATCACGAATCAAATAAATTTTATTTGATTTGTATACACCCCTAACTAGAAGTGAAGGAGGGTAACAATAAGTGCAACGTCCAAATCACATAAATAAATTTATGAGACAAAAGGTGCATAATGAATTTTGTGGAATTCTTTAGATGAAAATTTGTTGAGGACTTGTCGTAAGGTCCAAAACAAATTAAAAATTTATAAAATATCCTTAACTAACCCCCAAGATATAATCAAATATAAACTATAGCTAAGACAAGTAAGGGTCGATCCCACGGAGAAAGTTTGTACTTTTGAAATCATTTAAGCATGCACACACATTGTCACGAAATAAAATAAAAAAACTACACATATGATAAGAACTTATAAAACATATAATAAAACTTATAACTAAATAAATATAAAAACTTATAAATATAACTTATATAAACAAAGAACTTATAGATAAGCTTAGTAAAAACTTATATAATAACTTAAAACACAAAGGGGGGGGGGTTGTTGGATAAAAAGTAAATATTTTTGGTATTTTATATTTTCTTATTTTTTTTGGTTTTTTAATAAAAATGGGAAAAACAAGCTCAAAAATGCCCAAAACAGCCCCAACTGCCCAGTCACTTGCATCACACATTAATTCAAAGGGGTAAGCCCAATTAGGTGGCTGCATTATGGGGGATGAAGTGAGTTTTTCTTTTAAAAGATCAAAAGATTGTTTACATTTCTCATCAAAAACAAATGGGGTGTCTTTTGAAAGCAAAGCAGTGAGAGGCAAAGCTATTTTGGAAAAATCTTTAATGAACCTCCTATAGAACCCAGCATGGCCTAAAAAAGATCTAATGTCTTTCAGATTTTTGGGGTAAGGAAGTGTTTTAATAATGTCCACTTTTGCTGGATCAACCTCCATCCCTTCAGAAGAAACCACATGACCTAGTACTACCCCTTTCATAACCATGAAGTGACATTTTTCAAAATTCAGCACCAAATTAACTTCAATGCACCTTTTAAAAACTNACCATTTGGTCAAGAAAGGGTAGGGGAAAGTGATCTTCTTTAGTGGCTTGATTAAGTTTCCTATAATCTATGCATACTCTCCAACCACTTTGTGTTCTAGTGGGAATTAATTCTCCTTGATCATTCACTACCACTGTTGTTCCTCCCTTTTTAGGCACTACGTGTATTGGACTCACCCGCTCAGAATCAGCTATAGGGTAAATGACATCTGCCTCAATCCATTTAAGGATTTCTTTTTGTACTACCTCCATCATAGGAGGGTTCAACCTTCTCTGGGCATCTACTTTGGGCTTGGCATCAGGTTCTAGGGTGATTCTATGGCTGCACAGAGTAGTGTGAATCAATTTTCATTCATAAGGGATTTAATATAAACATTAAAAAAAACCCATAAAAGAACACCAACCATTTTGTTATAAAATTTTTGGAACAAATTAACAAACAAAAAAATGTAAAATTAAATTAAAAACAACACTTTTACATAGAATTGGAGGAAAAAAATAAAAATTGACAAATAAGGGTTACCAAATATTGAAGAAGATAAAGAAATTGAGGAATTGGAGCTTGAAGGGACCGCCTGACCTATCACCGCCGACCATCGTCGAACGCCGGCGAGCCGTCGTTGGCCGCCGTCTGCTTTCTTCTCCGGTGGCGTCAATTGCAGCGGCCAAAGCCGCTGCTCTCTTTCTTGTTTGGTGCGATGCCTCCCCCTCTCTGTTGTTCCCCCCTGATTGCTGGAATTGATCTTCAATTTATAGAATGGAGGAGCCAAATTCTTCCGTTGGAGCATTGATTTTTGGGAACGTTGGAGAGGAGCTGTTGAAAGAATTAGTCTTCCGCCTCTTGCGCAGTGAAGAAGTCTGCGTTTCTTTTTTTCTTCCTCCCTTGTGCGAATCAAGAAACCAATGGGTGGGCCAAAAATCCTGTTTTGATGATGGGTTTGGGCTCCGGCCCAAATTCAATCTTTTCTCCTAATTTAATCTTCAATTTGGTCTTTTGCTACGCTTTTCTCCAAAAAATAAGATATCTGATAATTTGGGTTAGGAAAAACCAAATAAAAATAATAATATGTAAAAAAAATGATTAAAAAGCTACGATTTTTAAAAGAAAATTAAAAGATTGAAAAAATGAGAAGTAAAATAAACCTAAGCTAAACAACTAAAAATTAAACAATAAAAATATTAAAAATGTCTAAAACTGAATAGAAAGTACTAACCCAAACTCGAGTTATCAAATACCCCCACACTTAAGAGTTGAACGTCCTCGTTCAAAAGACCAAAAAGAGAGGAATTAATTTATATCATCATCAAGAAAAAACAAAGTGAATTTTAAACCCCCACACTTAAGACTTTATGCTCATTCACATTTTAAAAACAAAGTGAGCTAGAAATCCTACAAGGATGGAAAACTAAGGTGTGGATTTTTTGGGTTCTAACAACTGCTCTAAAGCTGCTACAAAAAAGTTTCCTAGCGGAATCCTATGGTTTAGAACGGCTCAATGGCAGCGGTAGCAAGGTTCATCAATAAGCCTAAAAAATATAAAAGTCACACAATTTTCTAAAAATAAAAGGCTCCTAAAACTGGTTTCTCTCTTTTTCCAGATTTTAATATCAAGCAATGGTTGATTAGGCAGCATCTAGATAGTATGTGGATGGCCAGTTCTAGAAAACAAAATTCTAAGGTAATCTAGAAGGATTTCAAACATTTTAAGGGCCATTTTTACCAAGAAAAGAGGATAAGACTCAATGCGGGTTTAAAAAGTATACACTTGCCATCTTTCAGAATAAAGCCCCAAGAAAAACAATGAGGTTTTTGGGTCAATTTTAAAAACAATGCTCTAAATAAGAAGATATACAACTAAGAATGAAAATATTTGGACCCAAAACCTATTTTTTTTTGAAAAATTTTTGCCCCAAAAGTGTTTTTAAGCAATGACACAAGCATGAGCAACTCCCCCCACACTTAAAATATGCATAGTCCCCAATGCATCTATATGGTATGCAAATATTAAGCAAGCACGGACTTAGCAAAGAGAGAAGGGGAGGGGAATGCAACAAAAAAATCAAAGTATACGCAACATCAATTCATCATTCCTCGTTCCTTATCATGCTTTTGTTGGACCTAAAAAATCTGCAAAAAGAAGGCTAAGACCAAGTATTTTAGCGTTTAAGAACAAAAACAATTCTGATTTTTTTCCATTTTAGCACATATAAGCTGTGAAAAGTGTAGGATTTTCATTCTGCACTAAAAAAAACAGCTCACAAAGTGCATATTTTTCAGTTTATAGCCCAAGAATCTAATAAATCAAAACCAATTTTTTTTTATGGTTTGTAGCCCAAATCAACCAAAAAGATGCAGAATTTTTAGGTTTCCAACTCAAATAAGACCAAATTTAAACATCCAAGGCCTCGAGAAACATAAGATAGGCAATATACCAACACTCGGGCACCAAGAATCACGGTTTCAAAAGAGATTTGCACCCAACAGTGCAGAATTTTACTCCAAACACCTATGCTTCCACCTAAAACTCAACAAATCTTGCAAAAAGCTCTCAAAGTAGATGGTTAGAAGCACAAATAAGTAAAAACATTTAAAATCAAGCAACATACTTTTTTCACTTTTTTTTGTTTTTCAAAAATAAAATGAAAGAGAAAAAGGAAACGGTGCATCATCTGGAAGTAATTCACCTGAGGAAAATCCAGATCTGAGCACGACCAGTACAGAGAAATTGGAAGCAGAGAATCAAGAGGAGAATAAGATTACTGAAGCCAAAACGTATGCGGAGGTGGTAGGTGATCAGGATGCGATGCAGATGGGTCTAACGTTTGTTCAAGCAACAGAGATCAATGGAACTAGGGTTGCAAAATTCTCAAAAGAGGACATTCTCGAACCATCCAGGTATTGGGATGCAGCTATGATTCTCTGTATACTTGGAGCTAATCCCCCCTTGGAAGTAGTCAAGGGCTTTGTATCTAGAATATAGAATATGTATCATATTGATGAGGTATCGGTGCTTAAGGAAGGACAATTCATAGTTATGTTTCAGAAGGAAGAGGATAGAGATGAAGTTATAAAAAGGAAATACTATTATTTTGATAACAAGCCAGCCCTCGTTCAAAAATGGAGGCCAGGGAAGCATGTTGATGTCACTGAGCTTAGGGACATACCTATTTGGGTGAAATTTCCTGATCTGGACATGCGCTACTGGAGTCTTACATGGTTAAGCAAATTGGGGAGTTTGATTGGGAAGCCAGTAAGGAGAGATAAGGCTACTGCTGAACGTTCAAAGCATGCTTATGCCAGGATACTGGTTGAAGTGGGAGTGTATCAGGAATTTCCACAACAGATCACATATGTTACTGAAGAGGAGAGAGTGTTGACACAGGATGTAGTGTATGAATGGTGTCCTTGTATGTGCTACCACTGCAAGAAAATAGGACATCTTCAGGAGAATTGTAGATGGAAGGAAAACAAAAAGAAGGAAGCTGGCCCAATGAAACAATACTGGAGAGTTAAAAATTAAAGGATGGGAAAGAACATCAACAAGAGGATATTCCAAAGAAAGATGACTGTGAACAAAGCAATGGAGAGCTGGAGGAAAAGGAGAAGAATATCCAAAATGACAATTTACAGAAAGATATTCCCCCAGGAAATATGGATGAGGGCTTTACAGAAGTATGTGGAAAAAAGGCTGCTAGAAAATTGGTGTTAGATGATAGCAAAGACTATGATGAAAAAGGATTGCATAAGGTATTCAGTGAAGGCCCTTATAAAGGGCACCTGCCCTCTCTTAAATGATTTGTTGCTGGAATGTGAGAGGGCTGAATAGTCCAAATAAACAAGGAGAAGTTATGAGGTGTGTTAAGAAATATAATGTATCTTTGTTTGGTATGCTTGAAACTAAAATTAGAGAAAATAAGTTTAAAGAAGTTGAACATAGACTGTTCAAGACCTGGGGTTCTTTTATTAATAATAATACTCACCACTTGGGGAGAATTTGGGTTGTTTGGAATAAAGGAAAGGTGGATGTACAGATTATGGGAGTAACTGATCAGATGGTAAGCTGTAGATGCAGAATCTTAGGGGATACTAAGCAATTCTTAATAAGCTTTGTTTATGGGCACAATGATTGTTATACCCAAGCTCAGGGTTTTATAGTTACAACCTCTTTATTTGCAGGGAGGTGGTGATAATAGATTGTCCTAAATGGATAATCGATTATGGACGGCTGCAGGTTCTGGGTAGTTTTCTGGGAATTTTCTAAGAAGGATAATAATCGATTGATGGAAGAGTGGAAATCGATTATTGAAAAGTGCAGAGTTCTGGGAAAGGCTGGTAATCGATTATCTGAAAGTGATAATCGACTATTGGAGGCTGCAGATGTTTTCACGAGGGATAGATAATCGATTTCTTGTAGCGATAATCGATTATTTGACAGCTCGAGACAAGAAAAGAAGTATTTCTTTGGGAAAAGCCAAGTTGGTGTTAAGAGATATCACACACTCTTATCTTAACTTGGAGTTGAGTCTAGCATTCAAATAAGATATCACACACTTATTTAAATAACTAGAACCTAAAACTCACACTCAAGAGAACCACTCTCAAGATATAGGATTAGGAATTTGGAATGAAACACACAAGTGAATCACTTTGATTAAAATGGAAAATACAATGTTTTTACAATGGCCTATGGCCGAGATATATATAAGCACACCAGGGGGAGAGGGAAGCTTCCTAGTACATTCACTTATTTGGGGAATAATGTCCACTTATTTTAATGGAATGAAAACAAGGAAGAGGGGTGAGGTTGTGGGGGAGGGTGTTTCGGCTTGGTGTGGGGAGTGAGGGGTGGAAAATGAGACTCACTTATTTGGTTGGAAATGGAGATTCTTTTATGGTGGGTTTTGGTGGGTTATGCATGGCCCAGGTGGGGAAACAAGGAAGGAGGGATATGGCAGGTTGTTTGGCTTCTTATGAGTTGGGTTTTCTTGATGAATTATGAGCCAGTATATGCTGAATTGTTCTTGGCCTGTTATGGTTGTTTATTCAGCTTGGTTGGGGAAACACAAGGGGACCACTGCTAGTACTCATTGGAGAAATAATGGGTTGGGTTTTGGCTCCTAGTTTTCGGCCATTCCAGGGAAAAGAAAAGGGTTTGTGGATTTAGCATGTGGTTTGAAGTGTGATGAGGTGTTGTGGGGGTGTGTGGGTTCGGCCAGGGTAAAAAAAAGGAAGGGACTTGGGTTTGATTTGGATATTTGGGAGGGGTGGTTTTGGGTGGTACTTTTCGGCCATCAAGGTGGGGGAAGGTCCAATAGGACCAGGGTCGGGTTGTATGGTTTATGGGTGATGTATTCATTCCAAAAGGATTAAAACACTTGGACATTATTCCACAGATTTGTTTAAGGACTCGAGGATCGTTGTTGGTGGTCGGGGGTATATCATCCTCCCCTTCTTCAGAAGAGTTTGTCCTCAAACTCGGCAGTTCCTCAGGCTCGAAGTACGGGCTGATGTCCTTGATATTGAAAGTAGCCGATACTCCATAATCTCCCGGAAGGTTAATCTTGTAGGAATTGTCGTTGATTTTCTCTATGATTTCAAACGGGCCATCGGCTCTTGGCAGCAACTTTGACTTGCGTTTCGTGGGGAAACGCTCTTTCCGAAGGTGAATCCAAACAAGGTCTCCTGGCTGGAAGTGGACGTTCTTCCTTCCTCTGTTGATGCGTGCGCTTACCTTCTCGTTCATAGCCTCAATCTTATCTCGAACCCTGGCGTGAAGGTCTTGGATTTCCTTTGACCGCTTGTCTGCTTCCCAACTGTATTTGGTTTCCGTGATGATCAGATCAAGTTCAAGTGGGGTCAAGGGGTTCGAACCATAGACCACCGTGAATGGGGATAGTTCGTTAGTCTTGTTCGGGGTTCGGTTGTAGGCAAACTCGGCGTGCGGAAGAAGCTCCTCCCATTGCTTGATGTTCTTCTTGATGAGGGCTCGTAAGAGTGTTCCAAGGGTGCGGTTGGTGACCTCGCTTTGGCCATCATTTTGTGGGTGGCTTGACGTACTAAACTTCAGTTTAGTACCCAATTTTCTCCAAAGGGTCATCCAAAAATGACTAATGAATTTGGTGTCTCTGTCCGATACCATGCTTCGAGGAACGCCATGGAGTTTGACTATCTCTCGAAAGTAGATATCCGCAACTTGTGAAGCATCATAAGTGGTAACACATGGTACGAAATGGGCCATCTTTGAGAAACGGTCCACAACAACCATGATCGAATCTTTGCCCCGCTGCGTCCTCGGTAGCCCGGTGATGAAATCCAAGCTAATATCTTCCCATGGTGCACAAGGAACGGGCAGTGGCATGTGCTTTCCTTGGGGTAGTGAGTGACTCTTTGCTAGGTGGCATGTGTTGCAACGCTTGATAAAATGCTCGACGTCTCGTTCCATCTTTGGCCAGTGGTAATGCTCCTTCATCATCATGTGAGTCTTGTCGACTCCATAATGACCAGCTAGGCCTCCTCCGTGGACTTCTTCAATGAGGGTTTCACGCATACTGCATTTCGGGACGCACAGTTGGTTACCACGGAAGAGATAACCGTCTTTGACAAGAAAATCTCCATAGGGCCGAATGAGGAACTTAGAATAAGTGTCCTTGAAGTCTTCATCTTCCTTGTACAGCTCCTGCAAAAACTCAAAACCCACAAGTTTGGTACTAAGTGCCGTTAGTAATAAATGCCTCCGGGACAAGGCATCGGCGCCCTTGTTCATGGTTCCGTTCTTGTGTTTGATGGTGAAGGTGAAGGTTTGGATATACTCGACCCATTTAGCATGCCGAGGTCGGAGTTTATGTTGTCCTTGGATGTATTTTAGCGCCTCATGGTCGGAATGTAAGATGAATTCCTTGCTCACGAGATAATGGCGCCAATGCTCAAGTGACCGTACCAATGCGTAGAACTCCTTGTCGTATGTGGAATATCTTCTTCTTGTGTCGTTTAGCTTCTCGCTAAAGTACGACACCGGGTGCCCTTCTTGGGAAAGGACAGCCCCGATTCCAACTCCCGAGGCATCACACTCGACCTCGAATAGTTTGTCAAAACTAGGAAGGGCTAACACGGGGGCATGTGTTAATCGCTCCTTGATTGTCTCAAAGGCCTGTTGGGCCTTAGAATTCCACTCGAACTTCTGATTTTTTGTCAAATCCGTGATAGGTGCCGTGATGGTGCTAAAATCCTTCACGAATCTCCAGTAGAAAGATGCAAGTCCATGAAAACTTCTAACTTGCTGCATTGACGTGGGAACGGGCCAGTCCCTTATGGCCTGAGTCTTTTTTTCATCAACTTTGATTCTTTCACTCGAGATAAAGTATCCCAAGAACTCCGTTTCCTGGGAAAAGAATTGGCTCTTCTCAAGATTCCCGTACAGCTTCTCCTCGTCTAACTTCTTAATCACCAAAGTAAGGTGATTAGCATGATCTTCCTCATTTTTGCTATAAATCAGAATATCGTCAAAGTAGACAACGACAAAATGACCTATAAACGGCTTCAAGACCTGATTCATAAGCCGCATGAACGTGCTCGGGGCATTGGTTAAACCAAATGGCATAACCAACCATTCGTATAACCCAAACTTCGTCTTGAACGCTGTCTTCCACTCGTCTCCGTCAAAGATTCGAATTTGATGATATCCACTCCTAAGATCAATTTTTGAAAAGATCTTAGAGCCATGCAATTCGTCCAACATGTCTTCCAAACGGGGAATCGGGTACCGGTACTTGATAGTGATCTTGCTGAGAGACTGACTATCGCAACACATACGCCACGTTCAATTTTTCTTGGGTACCAAAAGTGCCGGGACAGCACACGGGCTAAGACTTTCTCTTACGAAGCCCTTGGCTAACAACTCATCAACTTGTCGTTGAATTTCCTTCGTTTCTTCGGGGTTCATTCGGTATGCGGGTTTGTTGGGTAGGGCAGCCCCCCGGAATGAGGTCAATTTTGTGTTGGATGTCTCGTTTAGGAGGGAGACCGTGTGGAACATCATCGGGGAAAACATGGGCATATTCTAGGATGATAGGCTCGGCTATGGGATGAGGCTGTCTTGGGTAGTTTGATGGTTCGGCTTCTCCATCTTCCAATAGGATCAAATCTTTAATCCCATGGAATTCATGTTGTTCTGCTTGAAGGATAGTGGAGATAAGAACGGGAGGTTGTTCTTTGGTTGGTTTGGCCGTGGGTGTAGGAGGAGGTAAAGGGGTAAGGGTGATCTTCTTCTTATTTATCAAAAATGAATAAGTATTGGCATAACCATCATGTTGCACTCGGTGATCAAACAGCCATGGTCGTCCCAAGAGGATGTGGCAAGCATCCATCGGGATGATATCACACCACACGTCATCTTTGTACGAACTGCCAATGCTCAAGGAAATGAGACTTTGTGTGTCAACATGTAGACCCTTGCCATGATTCAACCATTGAATCATATATGGTTTCGGGTGTGGTGACGTCTTCAAACGCAGCTTGTCTACCATGGTTTTGGAAGCCACATTGGTGCAACTTCCACTATCGATGATGAGGGAACACGCCTTCTTTTGGACAGTGCAACGGGTGTGGAATATGTTTTCTCGTTGTAGTTGTTACTCGGGGCATGATAGAGTGCTCAACGTCCTTCGGATGACCAAGAGTTCGCCATCATCGGGACCTACGTACTCATCTTGTTCTTTCACTTCTTCCGCTTCTTCTTCAACCCAAGTTGGATCAAATTCTTCTTCATCACATTCGACAATGGCCATCACCTTCTTATTAGGACATTCATTGGCATAATGACCTCGTCCTTGGCACCGAAAGCAAACAGGTGCTTTCTTGGTGGGATCAGCCCGGGGTGTGAAAGAGGAGGAGGGGTTTCTTGAGGTAGATGGGGCGGAGGAGGAGGGGTTTGTGCCGTGGGCAGTAGTGGGATTTTTGGGGGTAGTGTAAGGTAATTTTGATGAAGGGTAAGGTGGTTTGGATGTGGAGGAGTAGGGGCGTGGGGAAGGGGTGTTATTTTTGGAGAAAAGGGCTTTGGATTTCTTATGTTGAGCTTCAACTTTGAGGGCCAACTTCGTGAGTTCTTCAAGAGAGTCATAACTTTGCAACTCCACCGTGTTGGCTATTTGCAGGTTTAAGCCGAATAGGTAACGAACAAAGGTTTGTTCATCATCTTCTTGCAAGTCACATCTCAGCAAGAGCTCTTCAAACTCCCGGTTGTATTCTTCAACGGACTTAGAACCTTGTCTAAGCGTTTGAAGCTTAGCAAAATTCTCACGAACATATTCGGCGGGTAAAAACTTCTTTTTTAGAAGGGACCTCATCTTTACCCACGTGGACACCGGTTCCTTGTCGTTTCTTCTTTTCTTGGTGCACGTATTAGTCCACCAAGTTGATGCATACTTCCGGAACTTTAAGGCCACTATCTTGACCTTCTTTTCGTCGGAAACATTTTTGAAGTCAAAGACGCGTTCCACTGTTTCTAGCCACTCGAGGAACTCGTCCAGGTCGTTCTTCCCTTCAAAAGTTGGAATGTCAACTTTGAAGTCAGAACCTTCATTAGCTTTAGGTTTCATGGTTCCACTAGAGCTAACGTCTTCTTCACGGTCACTTCCTTGGAGCTCGTTGAGTTTCATCTTCGTAAGCTTGGCTACCTCTTTAGCCAAGTACTCTACTTGTGCTTTCAAGGCTGTATTTGAGGCAATGAGCTCTTCATGGGACATAGTTCGAGATTCATTTGACATGGTTGAAGTGGGAAAAAGGTGAGGAAGGTTGTTTAGTTGGGCTGTGGGGGTTGTTAGGGAAGAGGGAAGGGAGTGATGGTGGGTGGCCCTTGGGGATGTTCAACACTTAGCTCTGATACCAAATGTTATACCCAAGCTCAGGGTTTTATAGTTACAACCTCTTTATTTGCAGGGAGGTGGTGATAATCGATTGTCCTAAATGGATAATCGATTATGGACGGCTGCAGGTTCTGGGTAGTTTTCTGGGAATTTTCTAAGAAGGATAATAATCGATTGATGGAAGAGTGGAAATCGATTATTGAAAAGTGCAGAGTTCTGGGAAAGGCTGGTACTCGATTATCTGAAAGTGATAATCGACTATTGGAGGCTGCAGATGTTTTCACGAGGGATAGATAATCGATTTCTTGTAGCGATAATCGATTATTTGACAGCTCGAGACAAGAAAAGAAGTATTTCTTTGGGAAAAGCCAAGTTGGTGTTAAGAGATATCACACACTCTTATCTTAACTTGGGGTTGAGTCTAGCATTCAAATAAGATATCACACACTTATTTAAATAACTAGAACCTAAAACTCACACTCAAGAGAACCACTCTCAAGATATAGGATTAGGAATTTGGAATGAAACACACAAGTGAATCACTTTGATTAAAATGGAAAATACAATGTGTTTACAATGGCCTATGGCCGAGATATATATAAGCACACCAGGGGGAGAGGGAAGCTTCCTAGTACATTCACTTATTTGGGGAATAATGTCCACTTATTTTAATGGAATGAAAACAAGGAAGAGGGGAGAGGTTGTGGGGGAGGGTGTTTCGGCCTGGTGTGGGGAGTGAGGGGTGGAAAATGAGACTCACTTATTTGGTTGGAAATGGAGATTCTTTTATGGGAAGATGAAGAAGAAGGAAACAAAGTCTGAGTAGATGCTGCGTAGGAAATTCACATTCTTCTTTCGGCGATAGTGCGACTTAAGGAGACTCAGCACGTTACTCTCTGATTGGGACTAATTTGGTCCCAGTCGGGTATACTTTTTGGTCCAGCTTTCTTCGAATTGAAATCCGTTTGCACCGTTGCGATTGTACAATTAAACTCTATCTAATGATATAACTTTTACATTTATTCGCTATACTTTTTCCGACATCATATTTTTGGGTGTTTGACTTTAACAGAGTCAAAATTGGTTTAATTTGACTTTTATCATAAAAAGTTCTCATATTTAATCCATACAACTTATTTTCATGATTTATTTCAATAAATCATTTCAAAGTTCACATTACAATCAATTTCTTCATTTATTCTTAATTTGGGTCTGTACTCAGGTTCCCAATCAAGATCACACAATAAGTCATTATATTGGATTTATCTCTATAAGATTTATCTAGATTGTGATATTGAATATTTAAACATATTTCATTTTGGCCCAAAGCCCAACAAACATTTATTTTTAATCATAAAATTAAAATTTTGATTAATTGATTATTTATTTATTAATAATTCTAGGGTATATTTTGGGGCGTTACATTTCTTCTCCCCTTAAAGGAATTTCGTCCTCAAAATTCTTCTAAGGCTCAACGTTCAAAATTTCGTATTGATCATACTTAATCATGACCGTGTCATGTTCATTTAGTTAAAACATATTCACGTCATTATCCACACGGATATGTATTCTCAAATCGTCGATGTTATGAAACTTGTTCTTTCTTCAAGAGATTAACAATCTTTGATTAAGCAAGATATTCAGTGATCTTCCAGTGTCAACAACTAAGGTTTCCTTGCAATGTATACGATTGTATATTTGACATACTCGCACATAACTTCATTTATTCACAATTCTCAATTGTACAACGTTGATTAATGATATTCTTTCTTCGATCGAAAGTCCTTTGGTAGCATTTGCAGTTTCAAGTTCGCGATAGATGTAGTGGAATATTTGGAGGTTGTTTAATTCATACGTCATAGCGTAACTTTTTCAAGTTACTTGAGTCATCTTCATCTCGTTCACATAGTTCAACAATGATTCGTAAGTACACCAATGACTTTTAGTGGTCCAAGACTTTCAAGATATGGATTTTGTCATCATTTACGAGGAAGTACTGTCGATTGGTTGTACAATAGTTTGCCGTTATCGATCTCTTGTCGAAATAATTCTTCGTTCATCTTCGTAGTAGTTCTCATTATCGTTAATGAGTTTATGTACCAATTCTTATTTATACATGATAACGTTTGAGTATCGTCTCGTGTAAACATATCTAGATATGATAGCGACAGGTTCGGTTGTAGTACTATAGCTGATCTCGTTTTGAGAGAAAAAAAAATATTTTCAGTATGTGATTCAATTCACGGATTCATAGAGTAAGGAATCTTACGAGCTCTTATACCAACCTTGCATATAGGTTTGGGATTTTTGTTTGTTTGAATGATTCAGCTTGATCCTTGTGACGTCTGGTCTTCTCTGATTGTCGCACATACATTTCCTTGCTAGGATTCTAACAATATCATCGATAATAATCTTCAGAGATAGCGTAATAGTATTGATCGTTGTAGTCCACAAAGAGAGGTTTAACATAATGTTTAAGTCAGGGTCGTTTTACTATTGTGATTGAGTCACGTATTCCACAGGGTATAGTTTTCAAAGATCGATATCATGGCATCACCGAGTATTGTTTTGGTTCCAATGAAGAATCATGGTTTTAGTATCGTGATACAAAGAATGAAATTCAATCTTTTAGGATTGATCAAGCGAGATGTTTTCAAGGGTGTAGTTAACACAACAAGTTTGAGTATTTCAAGGATATGAATCACAAGATACAAAGATAGCGTTTGTGAATTACCATTACTAATCGTAGGTTTTCTTCCTTCAATGTTTCACTCTTCGGAAGTTACTCAAGAGGTCATTATATTAGGGTTTTAGACATTCGGACTTTTTGTCTCGGGTTTGAACGTATTCCAGGACATCGAATCTAACTGTTCATGAGTCTCAACACGTCATGTCATCATTAGACTGAGTACGTTCTTGTTTGCAGGTAATCCATTTTACACTGTACCTATTTTAGCTAGTGATAATTACCTTTCCATCAATGGTCAGGTTTCAGAGACTATATATATATCATGATTATGGGAAGAGTATCTCACATTCTCACATTATGGAAGGAACTTCTCGAACACTTCCTTACACCATAAGATTCGTTGGTCTACTTGGCAGTCATTCTCTTGGTAGAAATCCAAAGTTTATGGCTACTGCGGTAGATTTAGGAAGGGAATTGATAAGGCGAAAGATTAAACTTGCCTATGGAGGAGGTAGTGTTGGCCTTCAAGGAGCTGTTGCTTCAACAGTCTTTACCAATGGTGGTCTCGTTAGAGGTTTCATTCCTGGGTACATAGCAACACGACGGGTCTACGGACCTACGTACGGTGTAGAGCATACAGTTTCCAGCAACTATTACAAATATTTTGAGATGAATCATGCCGTGGAAGCTTTCATCATTCTTCCCGGAGGAGTTGACACTATGGAAGGTTTGTTCACCTTGATCTCGTGGGCGTCTGAAGGGTTACACAATAGACCCATTGGTCTCTTGAATGTTGAAGGTTATTTCAATAGCCTAATCAAATTTCTAGACGATGCGGTTAGGCAGAACTTCATGGCTTTGAATCAGAGAAAACTTTTCATTTCTTCTTTCTTTGTTGATGAGCTTTTAGACAAAATAGAGTTTGCTAAAGCTTTCCCGGGTCCAGGGGTTAGTTACGATGAGTTTGTGAATCCTGGAAGACTAGACTTAGAATTGCATCTGTAACTTTCCTCTTGTAATTCAAGTTGCATCTTGTGTTGCAATGATATTATCCCTAAATATTCTCCTAGGCTGTATGGCTAGTGCGAGCTACATTTTCTTCATTCTTCAGTCTTTTACTATTGGTGTCACTGTTTCACATCTTGTTTTGTATTGTCACCACGTCGCAATCTTTCACGTCAATAGGGTATACGAACTAGTCAACTATCTTAATGATTTGTTTTGTCAGCATCACTTACTTCATTTATTTGATCATACTACATCGACGTTTTCGATGATATGCAATTAGGTCATTAATCGCTTCATAACGAGGCACCAGTTCATTCAACAAGGTTGAGCGGTCCATAGCTTCTAACAAGCAGGTTAATTGAATTTGACCAAATAAGTCGTCAGTTCATAGCAAAGGATAGTGATTCTTGATCGTTAGTTTGTTCAAGTTTCTCAACAGGGATTTGTGAGTATCCTGACCGTAAGTCAATTTTAGAGAATACAATGGATTCTCTAAGCTGATCAAATAAGTCATGATACGAGGTAAAGGATAACGAGTTTGTTCAACTAACAATTGTTGATATGGAGTCTCATTGATCCTTGAATATTCGCTTAAGAACAAAACATGTATTCTCCCAAGGAGGAAACACTTGATTAGATGGAAGTCATTGATGGAAACACGTTCAATACAGAGTAACAAATATTGGTCCTTCAGTTCAGATCTTTCTTTTGCGTATCACACGAAAAGACTTTATGCTCCTTTTGGTTGAGAGGTTTGCGCACATAAATTCGAGATAAACTCGGTCGGTTTAGAAATCAGCTTTGCTTTCACCTATATAAGGTTTCGATCATCGATCTTCAGTTGAAGAATTCTTCGTCAAGAGTTGTCAATACCAACGTCGATCAATCAGCCAATGTATACTAATGATAATTGTCAAATTCCATGTATGGTATTTCAAAGAAGTTTTACAAGGAGTTGTCGCTTAACGAACGATTTCGATTCCTAAGATATAATCGAAATTTGCATCTTAATGAGTTAGACATTAGAATGGGATACTTTAGATAACAGAGTTCATTAATTCTAGATGTTCGTTTTTGAATAATCGATTAGATCGTCTTGAGTCCACATGAGGATCTTTGACATCGGCTTCACAGCTGTTTCTCAACAATTATCATTTCTTCATAGTCGTCTCACTTTCGTACGATTTTGCGATGCATATCAGTTTCGTTTGTCGCGATGCGATGCGTACGTTAATAACGAATTAGAGGGTCATATATTTTTCGTTCATTCTTGTGTCTCTTCACTGAGTACGAAAGTTCTACTAGAGTCTAAGCTCGTTACGATTTCAGTACTAATCAATTGTTATTCAATGAGAATTCTAACAGAGTAAATATTTACCAAGTAAATTCTCATACCTTTCCTAGAGCAGAGGGACGCGAGAGTCGTAGATGTGATTGAAAAAAAAAAAATTAATTAATTTTTTTTATCCGAAGATCGGTTTTAAAACCATTTGCTCTGATACCAAATTGTAACACCCTAATCTGTCCAGGTCTGCAGCCCCTTTCGGACTAAAGTAATAACTTGGTAATCATAAAATTTAAAACATTTCAAACACTTTTATTTATCACAATAATATTTTCATATCATAAACAATACATAGTTTTTAATATTGCGGAAGCTTAACAAATCATAACTACAAGCATAATTTATTTATGTTCTTTAATTCAAAACCATCACATCCATTCCGACAATCTCGCCTCCGTCTGCCTCCAGAATCACGTCACATCATTCTTTCTATTAACCTGCATGTAGCAAATAAAACATACTACACGCTCAGCGGTAAAGCTGAGTAAGCATATCTAACGCGTCGAACATCCATATAAACAGAAACTTAATTCATAATCAAATCACTTGATATCATGCACATAATGTGTTGAAACACGGATTCGTCACGTTTTCGTACTAAAGCCGTGTTTGTTTTTATGACAGGTTTTGATAATGCCAAACCGCCGTGATCAAGTCAAACATTGAATATACAAGGCGAAGAATGAAGAGTAGAAGAAGAGCTAAAAGAAGACCAAGAACGAAGACCTTAGTCTTAGTGTCGTTGAGTCGGTCTTCATTGTGATCAAGACCGACCCAATCTTTACACCTTGGCTCTTTAGGCTAAAATCTCTCATTGCATTTCTTACATCATAAAAACGTTTTTCAAACTTGTTTAAGTCATTAAAAACACTTGGTGTTCGCCCAAACCAAAAACCAAGCCATCCAGCGTTCGGGTTTCAGAAACCGGCGTTCGGCTCTCGGTTATCGGCTTTGGTTTTTGGCGTCCGAACCAACCGAGTGGTTTTCAACTTTTTGTGATTGGTTTTCACTCTTTGGCATGTTTAAACGGTTCTCCAACAAAAACACTTTGAAAACCATCTTTCACTTTTGCTCGTTTGACAAAAATCATTCAAAACGGCATTAACTTGGCTAGCCGTGGTTTTTACTCAAATGACGTGGTTTTTAACGTAACTCACTTGATTTCTTAACCAAATACATCAAATAAGTGTTTCAAACACTTGGTTTTTATTTTGGAGGACTTTGGAATTTTCGGTCGGTTTTTGCATCGGTTGGCTAGGCCGTGGTTAAGGCAAAGACTATGGGCTTTTGGCTAACCACCCACCCAGCGATGGGAAGATCTTCCCATCGATGGGTAAGCGGTCCCTTAGCCAAACCAATTTCCAGAACCATGCCAAACAGCGATGGGGAGTTCTACCCATCGCTGTTAAAGCCTTGGTACAAAATTAGCACAAGGCAGAACAACCTTACCCAGCGATGGGAAGCCTATCCCATCGATGGGAACCCAGCGATGGTAAGGTTAAACCATCGATGGGAAGGCATGACCGTTGAAAGTCATTTAAGGTTGATTCTTTTCTTGTTTGGAAGTCAACCTCCCACCCAGTGATGGGAAGCTTGTACCCATCGATGGGTAGGTGACCGTTGGCTTCAAAACTGAAGGAAAATTGGCTTACCAGCGATGGTTGAGTCTAAACATCGATGGGAAGCCAATATCCTGCAGATTCTCATTTAATCAACCCTATAAATCAAGCTAATCACCCCTTTAATGCATTGGTCCGTTGGAGCCTATTTTGGCACTATAAAAAGGGGTGTTTAAGTCTGTTTTTCTCATCAATTCACTTCACAACATTCATACTTTCATTGCATTCAAATATCATCATTTTCCATAGCTTTCTAGAGCCATTTTGTGTGAAGGTTGAGTTGTTCTTGAGCGTACTTAGTTTACTCATAATCTACTCTATAAGAGAGTCTCGTTCTTGAGTGTATTCGTGTTCTTAGACACTTTGAGAGAAAGTATTTCTCTTGGTAGATTCAAAGGAAGGGCTGTTTCCTTTGAAGGATTCGTTGAGGTTCGTGTGACTCGAATTCTCAAGTTGTAACGGTTTGTTAAGCACCCGCAAGCTTAACGAGATAGTAGTGTAGCTCGAGAGAGTCTCTCGGGAGGCTGGATTAGCCACAAGTTGTGGTGAACAGGGGTAAAATTCGGTGTGCCTCTTACTCTTCTCTTTACTTCTCTTTTAATTTTTAAATCCTGCGATTTCTACGATCAAACGCTATTCACCCCCCCTCTAGCGTTGGTCTTTTATTCTAACAATTGGTATCGGAGCCTAACTCGCGTCCAAACTTAACCGTTTGAGAGTAAAGCGATCATGGGTTCTTCTTCTAGAAATCTTTATGCAGGAATTGGAGAAGGTCAATCAACCTCTAGGCCACCGCTCTTTGATGGCACCAACTACACATATTGGAAAGAGCGGGTGAGAATTTATATCCGCTCAACCAACTTTCAGTTGTGGTTGGTCATCAAGAATGGCGAGGAAATTCCAATGAAGAAGGTCGGTGAAAAACTCGTCCCAAAGACCGAGGACGAATTTGATGCCGAGGACATCAAAAAGGTGGAAAACTACGCCAAGGCAATCAACATGCTGTACTGTGCCGTCAATCCTGATGATTATCGCAAGATCTCTTGCTGCACCACTGCAAAAGAAATGTGGGACAAGCTGGAGGTCACATATGAAGGTACGGACCAAGTTCGGGAAGCCAAAATTGACTTCCTAACGTAGGAGTACGAGATGTTCAGGATGAAGGAAGGCGAAAAGATCGATGACATGTTCGATCGGTTCTTAAAGATCATTAACGACCTTCATGCACTCAAAAAGACTTACGCCAACAAGGATCTTGTGAGAAAAATCCTGTGAAGTCTCACACCCGAATGGAGATCAAAGGCAGATGCAATCTATGAATCCATCGGAGTCTCAAATGTCACCATCGACGGGTTAAGAGGTAATCTCAAAACTTATGAATCTACTATTCTAACCCCATCTTTGGATGAACAAAAGAAGAAGGGAATAGCGCTGAAAGCAACCAAGGAGACCATGGAAGAAGATTCAAGCGATGACGACAACGAGTTCGGACTCGTCATCAAGAAATTCCACAAATTCATGAAGAAGGAATTTGAACGGAAAGGAAGAAAGCACGACGGTCCCCCAAAGTGCTATGGCTGTGGCGAGATAGGCCACATCAAGCCAAGATGTCCAAAAGGCAAAAGCAGCAAGGACAAACCTGGCTTCAAAAAGCAACGAGCCTATATCTCATGGGGTGGCGACTCCGGCGACGAGTCAACTGATCAAGAAGAGGAGGAAGCCGCCAACCTCTGCCTCATGGCGCATGAAGATCAAACCGACGACATTCAAGAGGTATGTACCATTTCTTCCGACTCTTATACTTTTGAAGAAATGCAAGAAGCACTTCATGAGCTCTATGACGAATTTGTTAGCGCTTCTAAAACCAATAAATCATTAAAGAAACGTCTTTCAACCCTTGAAAATGATTTTGAAAAGCTTGAAAAAGATAATGAAAAGCTGAAACAAGAAAACAAATTTTATGGCAAAAGAAGCGCTGACAAACAAGAAAGTTCTTCAAGTGAATGTGAATCTTGCAAAACTTTAAAAGAAAAGGTTGCAAAACTTGAGAGTACAGTTAAGAAGTTTAATACACCATGTTAAAATAATAGACCAACGCTAGAGGGGGGGTGAATAGCGTTTGATCGGAGAAATCGCAGGAATTTAATTAAAAATTAAAAGAGAAGTAAAGAGAAGAGTAAAAGGCACACCGAATTTTACCCTGGTTCACCACAACTTGTGGCTAATCCAGCCTCCCGAGAGACTCTCTCGAGCTACACTACTATCTCGTTAAGCTTGCGGGTGCTTAACAAACCGTTACAACTTGAGAGTTCGAGTCACACGAACCTCAACGAATCCTTCAAAGG